CGAGTTGAGAGAAAGTATCGATGCGGTTGTATGTGATAGGAAGAGATGGAGAGAGAAAGCCAGGAGGGGGAGAGAGACCTGTAAGATGTTCTTCCTGGAATTAGCTGTGAGATTAGTGCACTCTTCCATATCATTGTCATGGAGTTTAATGACTTCAAGAAATGCTAAGAGACTCTCAAAAGTGAGACTCTTCATAGACTCTCTATCATCTCATGTTTTTGGCACAATGTTTTTTGATGTTGACACATAAATTAACGTTAAATTGTGAAATGACAAGAGTCCATAAAAAGTCTCACTTTCATAGTCTCCTTAGCGTTTCTCTTATGACTTTTCCAAGCCTGGAACCTCAGTGAGTTTGGTTGAATCACTTATTTACAAACTCTATCATAATTGACATTTTCGAAAAATCTGGCATTGTTTCTAATGTAATAAAATAATCTTATTCGTTGTGATTTATATCTTAAGATATATATTTTTTTTCAATTGTGATCGATATTCTTGTGACACTCTTCATTTGATAATAATTTGTGCTTCGGAAGATGCATACACATTAGGCAATCTGTAATATTACCAAAGAAAGTCTTTTAAGATGACCAACGGATTGGTGAACCTCAAACAAACTCTTAGTCTTCGAATATCAATTCTTCGAGACTCCAAGAGGAGGATACGATCAAAAAAGTAGAAGAAAGATATTCGATCCACCACTAATAACCATCGATATTGTCTTCGACTTAATCACTAAGCGTAGGGTACAAAAGACCTCATGCAATGTTTATGTCATGTTGAAATGGGACCAAACTTATTGAGACTATAAAGGAGCTTGTATGGTTGATTATTGTACTAGGTCTTCAAACAGAAGCCCCTTTTGGACGCCACAACCACAATGTTAGTTAATCACATAGCCGCGGAAATCGCAGTACAAAAAGCACTAAAAGCATCCAAGTGAAAGTGCTTCTTCTCATCCAGTTTCATTTCACGTATCTTCCACAACAGTAAATATATTTCAATGGTTCCGCCTTCGCATGCCAGTCAGTCACACGCTCAACTCCTCAATGTTCGGGCTCAATGGCTCGAAGAGAGCTTCCACTTCACTCTGATTCACCTCCTCTAACTTTGCCGGGTTCCACTTTGGATTCTGCATTGACAAGAAACGGAAGCCAAAGATAAAGACCCGTTCTGATATACGGAAAAGTAAGATGATTATAGAACTGTAGGTCTAGTAGAGGCTGTAATTGTTTATGTTGCAGCAACTCCGTCGGCAAGTGATTTTCAAAAGGAAACTATATAATTTGGATGATTAACTCTAGGGTCTCCAGCATAATCCTAATTTCAAGAATTCCGCATTGTTCTGCCAGTTTTATAGTAATGAATCTTGAGCATAATTAACGAACCTGATCCTTGTCCACCAAAACTGCCCGCACACCTTCAGCAAAATCATTCCGCAAAGACGATCTTATAGCAACACGATATTCAGTTTTCATCACACCAGTTAACTGGTATTGGTCAAATAAAGCAACATGTTACTATCAGAAAATGTGAAATACTACAACTCAAAACCTATCAAAATAATGAAACCACACAATGAAAAAAACGAAAAGGTTCAAAGTCCAGACTCACTGTGGATAATTGATTGTCATTTTTCCCAAGCGCAGATGCAACTTTGGAGAAATAATTTTGTGTCAAATAAAGTGAAAAAGGAGCACCCTTTCCAAGACCTTGAAGAGCTTCATTTGCCCACTCACCACTGCAATAGAAACAATTTGATAGAAAATACTTCACAGCGACAAGAAGCCTCTCAATAGAAGAGTATGACAGATTTCATTTCATTATCAATAAACAAATGACATTGACAAACTTACCAGTAGCATCTGAACTCTGCTGCTGCTTTTTAAGCTCATCAATTGTCTCAAGAACCAACTTATTTGCACCAAATGCTGAAGTTATTTGAGGTAAAAGACTCTTGAGTTGCGCTTCAGAATCTGGGTTGCCGCTGAATTTCGCCACAGCTGTTTCAATGTCCTGATGGGGATCCTGAGAACTGCAATCAACAATGGAGCTGCTTTTATCTCGCAATGATGCCAATTAAAGTTAATCCCACTAAAGCATTGGAAATCTGAACCAAAAGAAAAAAAAATAATGAATTTAAAGAGAAGAGAAACATACAATTTGGTAGACAAAAGGGCCTCCTTTAGAGAACCTAAGTTTTGAGATGGGACAAAATGTGTCCCAAGACCCACATATAGTGCATCCGATGGTGTTGAAATCCTTTTCCCAGTAAGTCCAAGATAAGCACCTACAAAGACATAACAGTGTTAAAACAAACACAGAACTAAGAATTGATGCATGAAGCAAACAGAGAAATTGTATAGGCAGTTCTCTTTATATTCTTATAATCTAAACAGTTTCTCCTTATTAATGAAATACTTTAGTAAAAATATCTAGTTTTTATATACTTTCTGATAGAAAAGGCATACCTACAGATCCTCCTCCTGGACTCTTTGCCGCTATATGTGAAAACCCAACATCCGGGAACAAACCAATTCCATTCTCTGGCATGGCAAGAACAGTCCTCTGAAATGTATCTACACAACGTTAGACACACAAAAATCAAAAGGCCATTACAATGTAATTGACAACATTGACAATCTATGTCTGACAAGGCAATCATACCTCTGTAATGATCCGGTAGCGACCATGACCTGATAGGCCAATACCAAAGCCCATTGTTATGCCATCCATGAAGCTTACATAGGGCTTCTTGTACTCAGAGATTTTGCATATTAGAGAATACTCAGCAGTGAATACCTGAAAAACGTGCAGCACAAAATCATATCAGTAGCCTCTCAATCTTAAGAAAACTACAAATGGTAGCTTAAAAGTGAAATGAATCCTATCCAACCAATACAAATCATACTACCCAAGTTCAAGCAAAATCAAGACTAAACAAATGATCAGATGTTGTAAGTTGCCCGAAAATGTCAAACATGAAATTACAAAAGAAAAAAAAAATATATTTATATGTATTGATCACTAATAAATACATGCTGAAAGCACAATGTTAGCCACAATTTATGACATTTATAGGAGATTGAATCACCAAAGCAATTAAAGGAATAGCAGAACCCATATAAGTGATTTTCACCTTGAATTTTTAGGCCTATCAACAAATACGTTATTACAATTCTAATGCATGAATTTTGTTAAAAGGGCCTTGCTTTGCTTGTATAAGGCTTAATCATCAATGATTTTGCAAGGGTCAATGTATTGCTAGAATTCTATTTCACCATGAAAATTACCAAAATTATATCAAATATGGTAGGGATGGAAGTCATCTTTTATTATCTGGATTTTGGCAAACTGTGTAAGGTTATAAATCTGTTATTGTATATAGTTAAAAGGACACATTTAAACCTCAATCATATCCGGTAGTTGGTTTTTGGTTGTTATCTGCTTCACATCACCGCCTGCAGGTAAACTAAAATCTGGGTTATTACTTATCAAAGAATCAACATGCCAGCTTAACGGACACCGTGTATCTCTATATGGCAAAAATGCAACACAAAAAGGAACAATGAAGGGAAACAATAAACAACATGACATGAAACAGCACGAACATCAAGGACCAACAATCTATCATGCAAGCACCTAAACAAGAAACAATTCTAGCTCAAAGCAAAGCGTAATGTAGAAACCTTAGGCACAAGAGGTGTGTTTTTGTCCCTTTGAATTTCGGCAACAACCCCTTTAATATCCATTCCTGCATTTACCATGATTGGTCACTCTCAAAACCTTACCTAAGAGACCCAAAAAAAAAAATAACCGCCCAAAGAGCTAAACCTACATCTCTAGAAAAACTTATTTAGCTACATGTTAAAATGGAATTGTAAAATTGCCAAGAAAGAAACTATTCAAATACGGATTCTGGGCATTACCCGCACAAAAGGCACGAGCCGAGCTGCTATCAACAAGAACACACTTCACATTTGGGTCAGATTCCCACTCATCCAGATAGCTCTTGTATTTCACATCCATATCTGCATTTTCCAACAATTCCCACTTAAACAGGAACACAAAATTCTTCAAAAAAGCTAACTTCTTCGAAATTTCAATCCAACACATGGTATCATCACAAATGCAACAACACAGAATTGTGATCAATACGATGCAATAAAGTTCAAGCTCAAAATTTTAAATCAGCTCCAAAACAAAAGCATTTACAGATATATACATATATGTGTGTGTGTGTTTATCCACATACCCAGGTTCATGGCGTTGAGTGCTCGAGGGCGATCAAGGGTAATGACGGCGACGCCATTTGGGTGGACGCTCGCCTTGACGAACTCGTCGGCGGAGGCCATGATCGCGAAGGTGCGGAGAAGGCGAGGGGATTTGGTTGGTTTGCAAAGAGAGAGCTTCGAATTTGGATTGAGGAAGAAGAAAGCGGACGACGATTTGCTCAGAATTTGGGTCGCTCCGCCGAACAAATTTCGCATTACTTCGGTTTGAGAGTGACTCGGTCAGTGTCACAGTAGAGAGAGAGAGAGAGAGAGAGATATAGATGGGTGCTTCTGGACCGGATTGCCCTTGATGTTTCGGTTAATTACCGGGAAAAAGAACTGCCGCGGTGGCTACGCAGGGAAGGTTGTGGGAGCGCGGTGGCGGGCAGTGATTGGAGATTTCTGCGTGACGGGAGGGTGTTAACGGTATTTCGTGTACCAGAATGTATTAAAAGTGAAGCCCAATTTAAGAAATGATTGTTAGCCCAAAACTTGAATGTCCTTTGGTTCAGCTGGAAATGACAGAACTAGCCCAAAATCTTGGTTGGGTAGATCTCTTTTTGCTTGTACTTTCAGTAGTTATAATTTCACAAGATGATTTGCTACTGGCTTGTTGAGGCTGGAACAAAACAAATAATTTGAAGGATGCTGTAATTTAGCCTCACACGGAAATAACTTATAAAACAAAATAAAAGTTTCACCACACACATAAGCAGAAAAAACTTACAAAACAAATAAAAGTTTCATCACATGTGTACGTCAAATTGTGATTGGCGGGTACATATTAACCATACATATCATTTCCCCATTTTTCTAGTCTTTTGATACAAACGATATGCGTGGATTGACAAATCAAACATAGAATCTCAAGTGCGTAAACAAATACACTTGAGCTATAAACCTCTTGCAGTGGACACTTCTTTTTCACCATACAAATTATTCTGGCCACCTAGCTACTACTTACTTACCTAAGAAATAAACTAATTAACATCATCAGCATGTATAATCTTAAGGATTATGATCAAATTTAAGGCCCAAGACTTTTCCAAGCACATCAAGAAGCTCAAGGTGGGCAGTCAAATGTGGGAAATGCCCATTTGTATTCATAATCTCGACGTTAGAGTTTTCCTTCATCTTCTTCTGCATGTAGAACGCAACCGATTTTGGAGCAGCAATGTCGTTGCTGGTGCCGACGATGGTGCATGGAGTCGAGACCTTGTCGATAACGTCTCTATGGTCGCTGTAAAAGACGGTTTTGGCCAAGGCGAGGGCAACTTTAGGCCTCATTCTCTGCAGGCACTTGGCGAATTTTTCGACAGAGGGAGGGTCATTTGTGTCCACAGCAAGTGTGGCGAAGTTGGCCGCCCAGTTGTGATAGTTGGATTCTATGGCTGAGATGATTTCTGTAATATCTGACATCTCAAATCCACCTTCATAGTCATCTGTATTTATATACCTACAAATAAATATATTTATGTTGAAATTAGTGATTTCTTTCTTCAAATAATTGTGGACCCAAATATGTATTTTGTGTAGAGACAATACAGAGTAAAGGCAATCCATTATATCCATTATATACATATATATATATATCACTGATATTAATTAATAGGTTATTATATTAACACCCCACAAATTGTTGAATAAACTCCACATTTACATTTTCAATTAAAAATTATCTTAACACACTCCGCATATGTCCCCATAATACCCTCACACCCCACATTCTTAATATACACCTTATATTTTCTACAAGCACCCCCGTATTTTCTATACATCCCGTATTTCTTAAATCTTATAAAGCTTTCAATTTGGACAAAAAATGCCAACTAGAATTTTGATAAAAGATGCCGCCTGAGATTTAAGGCATATGTGGGTTGTTTTCAATTCCACCATTAAAACCCATGTCGTCAATTTTAATATTTGGTGGTAATTTTAGATGCTTAATTCTTCATATAATTCATGTGATCCCTAAAAGATGAATACGAACATAGAAGCTTGAATAACGCATCAAAAGCAAGATTAAATAATTATCAATGTCGTCAAAATCACTAAAACAATAAAAAATATGAAGTCTTACCTCATGTGAAGCTTCCGAAACATCAATTTTATGTTTCATTTGTCAAAAATAATTTTTCTCAATCAACATGTTTGTAGTTTCATTGGTTAGATTTTGTTCAACAATGAAGGGTTAGAGGGGTTTTGATAGTTGAAGAAGATAAATAATATGTCAAAAGTGATTTGGGATGTATATTGAAATTTTTTTTTTTAAACCTAATAAGGTCAAAATTGTTATTGCATAGTAAGGTAAATAAGTCATTTAATACTAAATTTTAATGTGAGGTGTATTCAATATTTTGTGAGGTGCTAATATAAAAAGTCTTAATTAATTTGTGATCACAAATATAAATATATGTAAATACAATGTTTCTCTCTACGGACCTTATGTCGGTCTTTTGTGCGGATGTCTATAACGGTGGCCAGACTGGTCTTTTTGGTCAACTAACAATATAATTTGTTTCATTCTCAGTCGATCAGCACAAATGTCTCGCTTCAATTTTTGGTTTTATCGTTCGTGTTTTGGGCACACGAAATCTGAACATTAACGTTTGGATAAGAGAGTTTTATATATAATTAATTGGATATTTGTAGTGTCTAACCACAAAAAATGGGACAAGGATAGAATTAAAATGATGGAGAAAACCTTGGATAGAATTAAAAAAAACAGAAGAAAATTAGAGAGAGAAAGTTGTATATAAGAGTGAGAAAGTACCTAGGAGAAGCTCCAATGAGGATGAGGGACTTAAAGAGGTCAGGTCTTTTAACTGAAGCAATGCATCCGATCATACCAGACATGGAATGACCAACAAAGACAGTAGATTTTAGGTTAAACTCGTCTAAGAGAGCAATTAGGTCAAGGGCAAATGCGTCATAGGAGGAATATTTCCCAGCTGGATCAAACAGTTTCAGGTTATCACCATCCTTATTATTCACAGCGCCGGAGAAGGGCCAGTCGAAGACGAGAACACGGTAATGCTGAGACAAGTAGGGCAGGATTTTGTCCCACACAGACTGGTCTCCTCCGTAACCATATGCTAAAACCACCGCTTCGCCGCCCGACCCCACGATTTTTGCGTTCATGGCGGTCGAAAGGGTCTTTTCTAGCACCATTTTTGTGGTTTTTTTAATGAAGCAAACTAACAAAGAGAACAAAGAGAGAGAGAGAGAGAGAGAGTGAAGACAGAGAAAGATTGGATGGGGGTAACTAGAACAAATTGTGTTTTGGTAGTGTTTTGCTCTTATGTTCTGGTCCTAGCTATAGTCACTCCATTATATAGGGCCAAGGAGTGGATTAATTATTGCGAAAATGGATAAATAGGAAGACTTAGTGTGGTTAATGATTGAGATGTGTATTGCTTGGTGAATAAATAGCATGTTCTATTGGACCAGATATTGGTTTTAGCATTTTATTTTGGAATCACCCCAAAGTAGATATATGGAATTTTGTTTAGTGGTACATCACTATAAAATAAGGAGATTATGCTATGTAATCGGGGTCATGCACTTCGTGTTAAAAATTCTCATCATGTTATGTTAGTTGTAGATACAAGAAGATATATTTGAGATTGTATATAAGAATCTCTCATAAATTAGGATGCATGCTTTAGGAACTTCACTTCAACAACTCTCATTAGCTACACTCATTATGTGATTACAGTTATAGATATATGAAGATATATTTTCTATTATACGTAAAACTCTCTTGTAAATTAGAGATGCGTATTTTAGGAAGTTCGCTTCAACAACACTCATGATTATGTAATGCATGTTGAAAATCAATCTCATGAGCCACACTAATACATAAACTAATAGTGATTTGACCACTTGGCAGGCTGATAAGAACACAACAGGAACAAGATTTGAGGAATTTATGGCGGCTGTTGAGGTCATTTAGTGCATGGCCTTGACTTTTTTCTCCTTTTACTTACTAATTGAGATCGAGTTAGGTCAATAATACTATCAAATGACGTAAGCATGATTACAAGAAATCGAAGAGAGAAAAGATGAAAAACTAACTTTACTGGTAGAATCTAGTATGTATGGTACTGCGGAGATTTTAAGAACATGCCCAAAAGGACCCATTTGTATTTTTATGTTGATTGAGAGAGAGAGAGAGAGGGTTAGGATAAGTCCAAGGCCTACCTTTTTCTGCCATTAAAGCTGGCAGACCCCACGACCACGTTTTTCCCATTCCTTATCACAATTCTAAACCAGATATGCAGGTACATGCATTGCATACCGATCATCAAGACATGAACTGTTATATTCATCGATGTTATGTTTTAATCTACTTTTTTGGACAACCGATAGGATATTTACAAATGGGATACAGCTAGCTGTCTTCAGTTGGTTGGATTAGCTTGTATCGTTTGTATGTTCAATTCTTATGAAAGCGATCGAAGACATAAAACAGAATATGCAAATTCAATATGTGGCCACAATAATCTGATTGTAGATCTAAAATTAGTTTACTAATGAAGGCCACTAATTAATGGGAGGGCCACTAGACTTTCTATATATTATGGACAGATCCTCGCAATGGATTTTGTAATATTTTTCTGCAGATTTGGAGAAGATTCTTTTGTCAAAGTAAATAGTAAGATGGAATAAAATAGAAACATAACGAGATAAGAAAATAGAAAGCTAAAAGAGGTAATTATGTATCATGTGAGGCAGCTATACAGGCTAGCCTGCCGGCTGCAACAAGGCATCTCATGATATAGAATTCTATTGTCTGCATGTTGTCTTAAAATTGAAAAATGATTTTAAAATTAAAATTCTATTACTGTTTTTAATTGGCTTGGAAAATAAGACCTCATCAATTTGTTGAAATAGTTATTGGCATGGATCATTTTGTTTGTATGTGAGAGGCGTGATTAATTGCATGAAGAAAGTTAAAGTTTTACTATAAAACTAATTTGTATTATAGGGCATTGCCAAACTTCTTATAAGTTTATGTAAGGTCTCATCAATATGTGATTCATTCTCAACAGACTCTTTCACGTGTACCAATATGGGTAGTAGCCTAAATTCTTATAAGTTATTCAAGGTTCGTTTTTCCATCAATGTGTGATTCATTCTCAATATGCCCCCTCACGTGTGACAATTTTCAAACCTAACAAGTGAATAATATACAAACGAGGTGACGTGGAACATGTGTGGTAGTTGGGATTCACACATAAGATAATTTGCTCTGATATCATAAAGAAAGTTGGGATTCCACCATAAAACCACTTGGTAATAGGGGTAGTAATCCAAACTTCTTATAAATTTATGCCATGTCCCTTCTCTCATCAATGTGAAATTCATTCTTACCATCGCTTATGCGCACTACAGTGATATATCCTACCCATTCATGTTTAGACTTGTAAAGCATAATAAACAAACAGAATAAGCTCATGTTCACATACGTACGCAACTGATTGTAGAGTTTCTCATAACGTATGAATATTGTCTGCCCTGTTCTTTCACAAGTTCAAAGTGAGAGCTAGACCACCCAAAACTTGTTCTAGGGGGAGAGATTTAATTCAACCAATTAGAATATCTCATTGGCTCTATGAAACTAAACCTTATCAGATATAAATCCATAATGCGACAACAGACAAGACATTATTTTGAATGCTATCTTGTTTGGATGGGGAGAAATAGATGTCTGGATCAAACGGCTAGAATATAGTTTAAGAACATCCTGGATTCCTGGGATTTTATAGCATTAGAAAAAGCATTTTTGAGAACAAAAAAACTCCCGTTTCTTGATCGCGGTTTCTCGCATATAATCTCATGCATCACTCATACAATAAAACAAATATGAGTTGCCCGTTTTATGAACCGACAAATAGTGGCAGGCAAAAATATTGTCGTTTAGTTGAAAATAACTTCAATTGTTTAAAGTGTTCATTTGCAACTTGCAGAAAAAATCTGGTCAGTGTTACTGTGTGTGAATGCATGCTGCATGGAGGTCCCAGTTATGCTATGTGAAGTAAGGCCTTGTTTGCCAAACAGATATATATATCCAATAAAACATTTTTCAAAAGAATTCTCTCGAAGCCGCAAAGCCAGCCGGAGGGAAAAAAAAACAAAACAAAAACATTTCTCTGCAATTTTTTACCAATCTGCAACAAATTGGGTTGCAGTTTGAACTGAATTTTGGAATCCAACATTACTATTGAGGATCTATCAAAGTACTGCTATTCTTTTTCAAAAATAAGTCGGTAAAAAGTTCAGTGTCCCGATAAAATTTCAATAAAATCAACTCAAATGATTGATATGGACCTTCCTATTTTTTTAAAAAATTAATGAAAATTTGTAACCTATCTGACATGTTCAACACGTCGCTTATGGAACTAAAGGGAAATTTTTTTGTACAGCTGGCGAATACAAATTAATCCTCTCATAGATGGTTTGCTCATCGCTCGAATCGATCTAAATGGACTGAATTTTACACTGATCTAATGGCTACAACTGCGTTGAGATACAACTGGTCAAGGGAAAGCTCCAAAAGGTGCATGCATGCATGGTCAAGTTTAAGCAATGCTTTACATCCTGCAAGAATAACTCCTTTCTATTGCAGTCGCCATTAAAGCCAAAAGGTGACCAACACATTCAAAGGAAGAACATTGACTGCTAGAAAAGATCAAAAAGTTAGTTTGAAAATTAAAAGCTAAGAAGGGGACTGGAGGCAACTAAATGCAAAAAGGTACCAATGAAAAAACAGTTGAACAATGACATTTATAGTTCCTTGTGAAATTAAAACACCTTCTGGGAAATATCTTTTTCTATGCAGATATGCTCATTTATTGGACGGCTCCTAATTTGGTTCAATTCTGCCGATAGCCAGCAAATCTCTTTTAGAATTGTTTATTGGTTTCTGAATCGGGCTCTCACTCTTATATGATGTCTGCCACTCGCCCTTTGCTTTGCATTAATTTTGAGGCTGGTAGGAGATATGCATTATATGTTGGGAGACGAACTTTTCTGACATGAAAATGTTACAGTGCCAGTATTCATCATGCAGTACTTTATGTGACGTCATCTTTTATTTATATGCGAGAGAGTTCAAATACATGATAGGTCGTAATTTTATTGCAATAATACTACTATCGTGATATCCCACGTGTAGATGAGATGTGCAACAGATGTCTCACACATAAGCTCATGCACCACTCATGTGAATTTCAAAATTCATAACCCTTATTTTCATGAAACGGGTATGTCATATTTGCTATATCATGTGACTGGGGCATGATCTTATTATATGTGAGACGCTTGTTTTATGTAATGGTGGGTGTAGGCGACTTTTCTCCTCAAAGTGGTTCATTTTGGTCTGTGGATGGCTTTAGGCTGTCTCAGTTTTCTTGAAGCAGATGAAAATGATCGGTAAACAGACATTTCTGCGGCTGCAGGTTTCCTGATGTATGTTAATATGCTGAAAAATTATATGGATGGAAAGCTAGAAATGAAAATACAGTATATGAAATATCTAGATAAATGAATCAGAACTACTAGTCAAAGATCCAATACAATGGGCTAAGAATAATCTATCGAAAATTCTAGCATACGTACAATAATGTATGACATACATTACAGAATTTACCAGCTGAATGTGAACTCAAAAGTCCAATGGAATTTAAGGGGACGAGAGAGTGCACCGAATATAGTAAGATTTTTAGTATTGGATGGTCTCATACAAATAGTCCCTGAATCCAGTAATTTCACAACTCCAGTCTAACCTTTACAGTAAAAACTACTAACTGTGTGTAGAAGGATCTGTGAAAACCTATAGGCTATAACTTGAAGCTATCAAACCTGTATAAGGGAAGGGAAAAACAGCATTGTTATTATTACCATTTGAGGCTGATGCAGTGAAAAACTATGGTAAGAATGGTAACTTGCCTGGATAAGGAACTAGTCGAGGAACATCAACTAGTCGCTCTATTATCGTAAGGAGCAATATGCGCCATAACATAGAAAATTTCATGCATTAGTTTACTGCTATGGCGCCGGTTAATATCTTCTGATGTTTAACCGTTGGATAAATCCTATTTTTTGTAACACTGCTGCAATTTCAACGAAGTAAATTTTCACACTACTGGCAGAGATTTGGCAATGCTTTGCATTCAGTCAAAAGGAGTTAGGTTGCCAAGATTCTCATGAAGTTGTCACTAATCTTTTGCATCATGGTGGTCCCTGTTGGAAACTTTGTAAAGTGTGACAGCAATAAAATCCTTCACGATGCGATATGTTTGGTTGATCA